CTGTATTATTAATTATACATTAATATTACTAATCGGAAGCGGCCTCCACCTAGGCAATCTAATCACTTGACCTCACTAAAGAATTAGCTTTCTAATAATTCCGAACCCTATATCGGAATAATACACTTGTTGGAAGGACACCATTCCTTTCAAGCGGGTTATTGCTAGGTGTGCTCGAGTGCTTGCAGGCTGGTGCCAGCTCTACTAGCATTGACCTGCTCGCATGCTTGCGGGTTGATGCTAGCGCTGCTAGCTCACCCACAAGGCAACCCTCGCATGGCCCCCTTTGTTGCTAGCTAGCTAGCTCGGCTAGCATGCCCGGCCTGCGCACAAGCGTGGCTGCTGGGCCTGCTGCTGAGGCTAGTCCATGGCTAGCAGTCATGCTAGCTAGCGCAGCCTAGTCTTCTATTGGCTCGGCCAATCCGATGCTAGGTCCGATGATTTGTCATTTGACTTATTTTCTCGTCTCGTCGATTCCTTAAAACGACTCGACGTTCGACGCTCGGCTTCGACGCTCTAAGCTTGGAGTCCGACGTCTTAGTTCGTCAAATCTCTATCGACTCATTTCATCCTTCGGATTAATTCGTCGCTTCGGTTCGGTTACACAATTGGGTATGACCCAAAGGGTTCAGTCAAGATTAAGTTGTAATATTAATTATACATTAATATTACTGATCGGAAGTGGCCTCCAACTAGGCATTCTGATCACTTAACCTCACTGAATAATTAGCTTTCTAATTAATTTCGAATACCCTATCGGAATAATACACTTGTTCGAAGGACACCATTCCTTTCAATCTCCTACTTGTCCTTCCGGACAAGTGTGCTGCTTGTGTATAGCCTGTTTCCTATGTCACTGAATGTTTCTTCATGAACTATAAGGTAAGATTCATCATCAGCCTTATTACGTCCAAAAGTGTTTCTTGATTTATGAGTTCGACTGTCCATACGCAGATGATTTCTAAAATCCATCTGAGCACGACCATGCATTTTCACGGCCTCGCTCTTTGAGAGGCCTTGTTAACAACAAAGACATGTTCCCTATTATTAATAGGGGGACATTCCCAGTCTTTTATTGTTAGCTTCCCTTACTAAGAGGACCTAGGCGCCCGAGAGTTGCCAAATGATTTATGACAGAGGTTCCGATAGCTATAATGAGTAATATACTTATGACAATGGTTAAATCTCTTAAAGTATTCTCATAGGTCGATCCGGTGTAGTTTCAAATTGATACCTATGCAAATCATTTATGACAATTTTGTCCTTATAGCACAAGAAACGGTGCTATAAATCATACTACACACTAATCTCACGCGGTCATTAGTCGTCCAACTTTCAAATGACCTCAACCAAGGATAATTTTGATATGATATTCAACGTTTACTTAATAGGTGTTTCTTTATCCAAGACATGGTATTGATACCCTATTTTGAATATAGTCAAATCGAAAGGACTCATTGTTTAATTCTAAACCTCAATTAAATAGTTTTGTGGAATAATTAGTAAATTTTATTCCACTATGAAACTTTCAAACGTTTCATCAATGGTTTTCCCAAATGTTTTAAGAGTAATACTCTGAAAAAAATTTTTTATAGAAATCCCACCCATATCTAATATGCTTGATTTCTTTTATGCAATTGTGAATGTTGTGGTTCATTTATTGCATAGGTTTAGTTATGATTACTTTGCAAAACTTAGAATCTTCATTATCAAAAACTCTCATAATAAGATGATAAGATTTGAGAGTGTTATGGATTATATGCGATTTAGGATTTATTGTCCAAGTGATGGCTCCCACTCATTTTCATGTTTGAGATCTCCAACTTGACAACCTACAATCATCAAAGCTCAACAACAAACTATCCATTGAACAACTTCCTTATTATTACCTCTAAGGCAGCAATGCCCTCAACATATACTTTAGTTGATTTCCTAATGATGCTTTGTTTGGATTTTACTCCAACTGGCTCACAATGATTTGGATACCCTAATCATTTTTTATTATAGAAATTTACCCTAACATGGAGTCTGTTTCAAATTTTCATGGCCTCTAACCATTATTCGTAATTTGGATTTGTCGTAGCTGATTTATAAGACATTATTCCCTTACCATCCAATAGTAAATAGCATGCTTGTAAGTCTTAGGTTTGTTTATAACTCAATAGAAATTTATAGGATTCAATCCAAGCCTTTGGTGAATTCTATACCTATACGAGGTAATTGCATCAAACACTGAGTCTCAAGGCGCTTTTAAAGCCCTTTGATTATATTGATCTTACTCCCACACTTCTAAAGTTTTTTTTGAGTAATGAATTCTCTTATAAGGCACTTGTAAAGTCCTTTGAGTATTTCTTGATCAATCATTCTCATGATGCCCTTCTAAAGTCTTCCGAGATTCACATTTCTAGTTTGTTGCTTATCTCGATGGTCATCGAGTTCATTTTGGTCATCGAATGTTAGTCGGGACTTGACCAATAAAAACAAGAGAATTACAAACTTAAGGTTTTCTCACTTTTCTAAGGAGATGCCTTTTTAGTTCCACTCAAGTGTTCTTCCCAAATCCCAAAACTTGGGTATTTATAGGGAAATGAACCTTGGTTTCCCATTCTCAATCAATGTGGGAGATTTGCAATTTCCCTATTTTATTTTAATCAAAAACAAAATAGAAATGCAAATCAATCAACAAGTTACAAGTGGCAATGGGGGGAGAAGGAGAAGGTGAGGACCACCAAGGGAGGGGACCAATCCACCTTGCTCCCCAAGGCAAACACCAACCATTGGTCCCTACACAAAAACCGGACCACTCCTCCATATGGCTGGCTGGCAGCTTGTCTTGGCTGCCATGGCTTCCAGCTGGTGCCTAGCACTAAGGCTGGGAAGCCCGGCCAGCCAGCTAGCACATCGCCTGCCAGCTCGCAATGCATGCGCAGCCAGCCAGCATGCATGCCTCGCTGCTGCTTGGTGCGTGCTACTAGGCGCTGCTATGCGAGGTTGATGCTTGCTAGCACACACGCATAGCCCAGCACGCCCAGCACGCTGCTGGCTGGTGCGTGGTGCTATGCGATGTGCGAGGTTGCTGCTTGCAATGCGCTAGGCCTTAGCACGCTAGCAAGCACGCAAGCACCATGCCTACATTGCTTGGGATAGCAAGGCCCAGCAAGCCTAGCATGCTGCTGGCCTCGCAATGCTTGCGAGCCAGCGTTAGGCTTGGTGCGTGGCCCAAGCAAGATGCGATGGCTCGGGCTGCTATGCTAGCACGCCCAGCCATGCATAGCCACACCACATGCATGCAAGCATCTTGGATGCTTGTGCCATGCGATGTGCGTGTGCTATGGGATGCTAGGCACGCATAGTTTGGGACCTTGCCTAGCCTAGCACTTCAAAATGAAAGATATATACGTGATACACAATCTCCTATTGTTTTTCAGTCAAATACCCTACTTCTCATCTTATAATACCTCAGGAGCTAATGAAACTATTTTAGTAAAGTTTTGTCTCAATTCCCTTGAAATTGCTCCAAAAATTCAAGTTCCTTTTGGATTTCCTTCTTGATCAATGATAACTGCAACATTGTCATCAGATCGTATTATCATACCGTTGGCGCGTTTCAGTTCTGTACAGGTACGTATAATTACAGCTCTGATCACTTCTGATCTTTCTAAGGGCGTGTTGGGTATTGCTTCTTTAATCACAACAACAATAACGTCACCAATACGAGCATATCGGCGGTTGCTAGCTCCTATGATTCGAATACACATCAATTCTCGAGCCCTGCTGTTGTCTGCTACATTCAAATGGGTCTAAGGTTGAATCATTTTTTGTTTTTATCTGTTCTTTCAATGTAAAAATAAATGAAAAAGAAATATTGTTTGTCCAAAAAAAACTTCTATTTATTTTTATCCAAAAGATCCATTTCCTTTAGGTCCACATTCTTATCCTGAAATAATGAATTGAGTTCATATAGGCATTTTCGATGCCACTATTGATATAGCCCGGCGGGCTATATTTTCGGCTACTCCGCTTATTTCATAAAGTATTCGACCTGGTTTGACAACAGCTACCCAATATTCCGGCGATCCTTTACCAGAACCCATACGGGTTTCCGCGGGTCTTACTGTAACAGGTTTGTCGGGAAATATGCGTACCCATATTTTTCCACCGCGACGTGCATTTCGTGTCATTGCTCGCTGCCCTGCTTCTATTTGTCTAGATGTGATCCAAGCGTGTTCAAGTGCCTGGAGAGCATATCTTCCCAAACAAATACGATTCCCCCGACAAGATATTCCCTTCATTCTTCCTCTATGTTGTTTACGGAATTTAGTTCTTTTGGGGTAATAGTTGATGTTTTTTTGGAATTCCATCTCTACTACAGAACCGGACGTGAGAGTTTCTTCTCATCCAGCTCCTCGCAAATGAAAAAATAAAAATTTCATTTTAAATGAATATTTTATTTTTATATAATAATATATACATGTAATAATACGCTGAATAAATACACTGAATAAATTCTTTTGGATTCACCTAGTTTACTAGATATTTTTATTTGGGTATATAAATAAATAGTCAATTTAAATTTCTTTAAATCTCTACTTTATTCCTTTTTTTTTGTATATTTTTGTTTTTTTTCTATGATATTTCATTCTTTTTCATTTTAGTTTTATAAATTTATATTAAATTGGATTGCTCAAATATGAGGAATTCAATGAAAATAAAAAAGAAAAGGGGAATTTTTGCGGGCGAATATTTACTCTTTTAATATCTATTTTAGCTATAAAGTTAGTTTATCATTTTTTATAATATGAATAGGTTTTTTCTTCGTTCCGCCATCCTTACCAATGAATTGTTAGGATTCATTTTTAATTGAATCTTATGGATTCACGGATTCCGTCGTTCCTATCGCTTCTTGATTAATGATTAGGTCTATAAATTTTACAACGGAGCTCGTAATGAAATTTGTTCTTGAGACAACCCTCTTAGTCGTGATTGGTTCGAAGCTCTTATTTTTTTCTATGAAATAGATTTCTATCATATAATTTTGCGTCAATCTGTATTGATGCTTTATTACATTTTTTTTATGAGATGTTTCAAAGAACTTACATAGTGGAATAATATATCGTTTCTATTGGATTCTTTTTTTTTTTTCTTTCTCTCATCTTTCCTTTTATCCGTATCCTTTTTTTCTTTTTTGTATTTTATTTTGTTTGACAATAAATCTAATGAATTGTTTATGCCAAAAAAATGCATTTTCAACAATGCTAGGGCTAAAATAACATATCTTGACTGCTTCCTTGGATCCAAATAATGTGATGCGATGAGTTGGTTATTAGTTGCTAGTTATGAGTTTCTATCTTGTATGATTTGTTTTTTTTGGTTATTTAGTTTTAATTTTCACAAAAACCAACGAGTCACACACTAAGCATAGTAATTTTTTTAAAAGGTCAATCGAATTTTTATTAAACCTTATGGGATTAAAATGGGATTCAAAATGAGAATTTGTTTGATGGAAAAAGAAGCAAAAAGGTTGTTATTTTATGTTCCATCATTAAATTGATACCAAAAGACAAATTTAAGTAAAGGTTTATTACTCCTCGTCCATAAATATCCAAATTTTGATTCCCAATACTCCATAGATAGTTCGAACGGTATAAGCACAATAATCGATTTTCGCGCGAATGGGTTGTAGCGGAACCCTACCCTCTTGATTAGGGGATTTTTCCCCACCAATCACCATCTGACAAGTGGACCAATCAGGTTCCGCCATGTGTCCGTCACATGGGCCAATAGGAGCCTGCCACGTGTCAAGCAATGATCCGTCCACCATAGACCAATTACGACACGACACGTGTCCTTCCCATGACACCTGGGATAACCGGTCACCTAGGCCCAACTTCCGAGGGAAGCCCAATCAGCCCAAGGTTAACCTAAACCTAGATTGGCACGTTTCCCGAGGTTATAAATACCTCCCTTAATCCTCATTAAGGGGGATTACAGGCTGGTCACGCTAAAAAAGCAGATTACCTACATTAAACACTCTCACCTAGAGAGACCCAATCACTTTAATTTCCGCATTAATTACTCCTTAAACAAGTACTAACTTGATCGTTGGAGGCGGAGCTCCCACCACAAGGAGTCTCCGTTGTTTTGCAGGTACAGGCGTCCGGTTCCAGTCTCGGAATTGTAACTCTCCCGCAGGACATCAGAACACCCCGAAACATTTGGCGCCGTCTGTGGGGAGAGTACTTCTGAGATGGCATCCACGTCTGTACCGACTCCTGAAGAGAGGCGTCCCCTAGACGACCCTCAAGTTCAGTCGGACCACGATACTGAGAATGAATTTGAAGTTAAAGCTCACACAGCTTCAGACGGGACCCTAAGGGCCCGACGTACCCGTCATACCAAAAGGAGGGAACGGGAACATCTTCATACAGGAAGCGAGCCAGCAGGCGCACCCCTGTTCGGCAACAGCCGACTGATGGGTCTGCTCCCATCACAAGGAGTGAACTCATGACCTTCATGAGGGACTTCAAGGGAGAAATTCAAGAGTTGATCAACAAGAAGCCGCCTGCTCTGGACAAGGAGCAGTCGGCTAAGAAACCCTCCACTTCACTGAAGAGGAAACCAGTTCAAGGGCGAGAGGCGACCCCTCATCCTAAATCTAGGAAGTGGGAGCCACCTGCCCTTGATTCCACAAAATACCGTTTTCCTACTCCAGGAAATAGGAAACCTGTTCGTCATATTCAGGCGGACGGGTCGAGGAAAACATACACAGACGCTCGGCTACTGCTAGAGCAGAAGAAGAGTGACCGATTGTCAGAGTCGGCCTCTACTTCAAACTTCCAAGACAGTCTGCGAAATACCTCAATGAGGCATACTCAGTCGTATCGTGAGAGTCAGTCAGGCGGCACCTCCCGTCAGTCCGGCTTTCATAGCGACCAGGCGGTACCAAACTTACCGTTTGTACCGCAACAACAGTATTTTTTACAGCCACCTCCGTTTGGTGGACATGCAGCAAAAAATGTCCAACCTATGAACTGGCAGCTACGGTTGCTTAGACTTGGTGAACAGCCGTCGGCCTTCTCCAAGGAAATTACTGAAGCCGCTCAGCCGGCCAAAGTGAAAAATGTATTAGTAGGCGCCTATGACGGCACTACTAACCCAGAAGACCATCTGATGGCATTCACCAACCTGATGTACCTTCAAGGGTTGGATGATCCCACTTGGTGCAAGTGTTTCCCAGCGACTCTCAAAGGAATCGCACAACAATGGTTCGGCAACCTGCCGACTGGTTGTGTAAATAACTTCAGGACGCTTGCTTACTTATTCACCTCCAACTTCGCCATGAACATCCCTGCGAAGAAGACGACCCTTGATTTAGGAACAATTCAGCAGGGCGAGAAGGAGGGGCTTCGTTCTTACATCAGGCGGTTTAACCTGATGAGAATATAGATTCAAGGGTTACCGGATGAAGTAGCCTATACTGACTTTTTCAGAGGTCTCAAAGACGGGTCGACCTTCAAATTTGATTTGGTCCGAAAGAGGGTGGCGACTCTTCAAGAGGCCTTGATTGAAGCGGAAGCCTATATACAGGCGACTGATCTTTGTGGTATGGTAAAACACTCAGACAAAAGAGAAGGACGACAGAAGCAGTCGTCAAACAAAGACAAGAGAAAAGAGGTCTGGGCGGCTGATTCCTCTAAACAGCCGGCCCAGAAAAAGAAAAAAGAATTCAAACCATACTCCCCAAAGTATGCGTTTAACAAGGATAACCAGTTTATCCTAAAGGAAATCAAGGGACGGATCTCAATTGAGAAGCCGATCCCCATGAAGGTTTCTGCAAACAACCGGAACCAAGAAAAATTATGTGCTTATCATGAAGATGTTGGTCATCACACCAATGAATGCATCAGTCTCATGCGGTATCTGGACCGCCTGGCTGAGCAAGGTGATCTTGACACTTATGTCAAGAAATCTACGGGGATCACTTCCTCAAAAAAGCAGTCGGCCAAAAAGAATCAAAAGGCCGACAGCTCCGATACAGATGATGCAGTCGTCTACACAATTGCAGGCGGCTTCTCAAGAGGCGGCCCCACTATTAGGGGCAACAAAGACAATATCAGGCGGTTAGATGTAAATTCCGTTCACCAAGAACGGCCCTCCAAATATTCATTTCCTGAGATTGTCATCACTGAAGAAGATCTAGGAGGGGTAAGAGGGCCGCATGACGACCCTATCGTTATTGAATGTAAAGTGGCCAACCAGAGAGTTGGCCGAATCCTCATAGATACCGGAAACTCCTCAGATCTCATCAGTAGCAAATGTCTGTCGAAACTAAAATATCAGACTGATTGCATACATCCGTCATCCCACCCTTTAGTAGGGTTTGGAGGAGGAGTCGTCCACCCAGTGGTACGAGTGGATTTACCCATCCGCCTGGGCGAAAAAGGGGAAGGACGACACATGGTAGTCTGGTTCCTGGTAGTAAAAGAACTCTCGGCCTACAACATGATTCTAGGACGACCAACCCTGAATAATTCCAAGGCTGTTATAATCCCATCTCTTATGTTGCTCAAGTTTGAGAGGGATAATGGAACAGTCGGGTCCCTAAGGGGAGATCAGAGGATGGCCCGAGAGTGCTATCTCTCGGATGTCAAGCCCACTATTATGGCCACTGGGTCAAGTGGTGGAAAAACAGACCTTGACAATGTCAAGGAGAGTGCGCCTGTTCAAGAAGCAGGCGGCAAGAAGAGAAAGGCATCCTAGACAGAAGCTCAACCTGGATGGATCCGATCAGGGCATATCTGACAAACGGTACCCTGCCGGATGATCATATTTCTTTTGAATGATGTAAATAGTCAAGGGCTACTTAATAAAAGTTTGCATACTTAATATTCAATTTTGTACTAAGAGGGGCACGCCTACTAACAAACAGTCGGCTACTCTCCATACTCAGTTTTTATTCTTACTTAAGAGGGGCAGGCCGCCTATACATTTATAGTCGGCTACTCTCCATTAAGTATTTTACTCTCTTCAGAGGGGCACGCCGTCTGTACCTTTACAGTCGGCTACTCTCCATTGAGTATTTTACTCTATCTTCAGAGGGGCATGCCGTCTGTACCTTTACAGTCGGCTACTCTCCATTGAGTATTTTACTCTATCTTCAGAGGGGCATGCCGTCTGTACCTTTACAGTCGGCTACTCTCCATTGAGTATTTTACTCTATCTTCAGAGGGGCATGCCGCCTGTACCTTTACAGTCGGCTACTCTCCATTGAGTATTTTACTCCATCACCATAGGGGCATGTCGTCTGGACATATAGTCGGCTACTCTCCATAGAAGAGGGCCGACTGGTTCCAAACACACAGCCACCCCCCTTATACTTAGCTAAAAAATATTAGGGTCTGGCCGACCCTGTGCCTAAACAGGCGGCTACCCTCCTCTTACTTAGCACCTACGTTCACCAAGAACTAACCAAGGCCATAGGCCGAATGATCAGACCAGGCGCCAAGACAACTGATCCAATCTTCAAAACTAATACGACCTGTCCCAACATCATAGCAGGCGTCCGGCGGCATCCCTCCGGATGAAATTCGTCGCAGAGAGCAGCTCCCTTTTGGGTGGAACATTGCTCTATAAACTAATTACACGGCACCTATACGACTGTCCCCAAGGGCAACCACGTAGCCGTTTATGAGACAAGGATAACTCTATCACTAACCAAACCAGTGGTAGCAGTTGACATCTGAGTCAGATGACCGCCTGTATTACTTGGGATAAATGCAGGGGGTACCTCTTGAGTTAATAGCCAACAAACATTGGCGAATCAAAAGGTTCAGCCGGCCTCCGCCGCCTGGTACCTTTACTACTCAAGCAGGAGTGACGGCGACTGAGTAACACCAAAGTTAACTCATAGTTACTCTCTCAAACTTAGTATGGAGCCTAAAAGGTATGAGTCGTCCGCCTGTTTTTAGCAAACAGGGGCTCTCAACCACTACTCCTGCTAGGTTAACAACCTATGAGTTAAAAGCCAACGAACATTGGCGAATAAAGGGGAACAACCGGTACCAACCGCTTGATACCTCTACTACTCAGTTACTTGGCGACTAGGTAACAACCATGTTTACTTGGTCAAACCACTTTCCTACTTGGTTAATTTTACAAATGACAGGACCGCCTGCCTAAAGGGGATCCAGTCTTTAAAATGGTTCGAATACCAATTGGATAAATGGCCGACTGATCGTCTAGCCTGGAAACAGACAACCAGTCGTCCAGGGGCATAGGCGGCGTGACTAACTATCCGTACCTATCTGCAACTATTGGCCATGTAAAACAGTCGGTATAGGGTACAATTGGATATCAGAATATTCAATACTTAAACAAATTTGAAGCAAAACAAAAAATTCATTAAAGAAGCCGGTCATCAAAGACCGGCAAAATATTCAGAGCCCCGGCCCCCTGGCCAAGTAAATACAAAACAAACGGCACGCAGGCCGTGGAAAGAAGACATAAAGCTTAAGAAGGGGGAAGATCTTCAATATCAACAGCTGCTGCCTGGTCAGCACTCTTCTTGCTGGACTCGGCTTCAGCTGCATCCTTCTTCGATGCATTACCCCCAAGCGGCACAAGCGCCACTACCGGCTGCTCCTCCTCCTCCAACGCGTCCTCCAACGCCTCTTCCTCAGCAGCCGCCAGGATCTCTTGATTATATCTATCAGAACACTGGCGATACGTTTTTTCCCATGAGGCAAAGTCGACATTGGGGAAGAGGCGGCCCCAAGTCATGCGTTGGATTTGAGCAGAGTCTTCCATCATCTCCCGGATCAGCTCTTTCTTTTCTTGCTCGGCCTTTTCCGAGAGCTCCTGAGTAAGACTCTTCTCCTGGGTCACCAGGCGTACCTTTACGCTCGCCAAGGATTTCTCCAAGGTTTCGTATGAGGACATCTTTTGGCGAAGAGGTCTCAGCTCGGCCTTGAGGTTGTTGATGGTCGCCTCCAGCTCGCTATTCCTCTTCTGGGCCGCCTCTAACTGAGCCCGGATAGCGGCGGTAGCCTGCGCCTGATAATAAAGAATATCAATGGTCAGAACTTCATTTTGGGCAATTTGAAACATTGCCTTATCACAATCAGAGGCGGCCATAGCTTTTGCAGCCTTTACCTCTTTGTTCTTCCGGTCAAGCGGCTTGCGAAGGTCGTTCACTCGGAGCAGGGCCTAAGGAAAAAGGGGAACAGGCGTCAGTTTCCAAACAAAAAAGAAAACAGGCGTCCTGGAATTCAAATACTCAAAAATATACTAAGTATACCTCAGCAAGGACCCCTGCAATCCCGTCTAGGTCAAGGGTGCCGACACCCCTGACCGCCTCTCTTTCAGCTGAGGAACGGCCTTGATCATAGACTTGGCCACCTCGACCAAGTCAGGCTCCTGAGGGCCGGCTGCATCAAGCATAAACAAACGGATTAGACCTAGTAAAAAAGGGAGCAAGTCTAAAATTTACAAGGACAACTTCATACTTCTAGGCGGCCCAGCTGGAGTTTTAGAAGAAGTGGCCGGCTGTTTCTCAGCCGCCGCATGTTTCCTGGCAGAACCAGGAGAGCTCGCAACAGTCGTCCTCCGGGCCTTGGGGTCCGGCTGTTGGGAAGAAGAAGCTCTTGGAGTGCCCGTCTAAAAAAGAAGAAGTCAGTATATGCATAAACACAACTCCAAAAAGAGGGTGAAAGGTTCGAAGCCCACCAAGGGTGCCCCTTGTTGGGGGAGTCGGTTGAAGACTGTTGCATGATGGAGGCCCGCAACATGGCCGCCGCAGTCTTGGAGGCGGTAATTTTGCTCATAGCGTCCGCTGCAAAAACAAATAGCAAAGTTAATAAGTCATAACAAGAAATGCATGGAACAACAGAGTATTCGACAGGTCGGCTACCTCTTGAGCACCGACTGCTGAGGCCACATGCGGCCAAAAAGTACTCGTCGTAGAGCCATTTGAAGCTCGGGACGCAGTGCAGGGGTACTTGCTCTCGTACCCCTGAAGTAGAGTTCACCTTCGACTCTACTTTGAAGAGTCCTTTATCTAGGATCTCTTTCTTAGCCTTGGGGGGAACAGGCGGCATGCTGCGGCCGCCTGCAAGAAGGGGCGGATTCCTGTTCCACCTGTTGAAGCGCTTGTTCAGCTCTGTGTCTGAACTCTCAATGATGAGGAAGGTGCTCCGCTAGTCCTTCCATTTGTTTGCTTTACCTCTTGTCATGAGGTAGCCCCTGTGGCTCGTCAATTGATACCAGCCGGTACCGCCTGCCTTAGGGGTACGGCTGAGGTAGTTCATGTGGGCGAAAGCCTCGAAGCTCGGCTCCACCCCGTGCAGTTCGCACCCGGCCACATAGCCGAGTACGTTGACCCAGGAGTTCGGGGCTAACTTCCATAACCCCAACTCATACCCATCCAAGATCCGCTGAACAGCCGGATGTAGTGGGAAGCGCAGCCCAGCCTTGATGGCCGCCTCGTAGCAGCCAAAGCAGGCGCTATCATAACTGGTACCAGCCGGCCAGACGACTGTGTCTTCTGGATCCGGCACAAACACTAAAAAGTCGGGGCCCATTGTGTGGTTTGCGATAAAGTTCTCCACTTTCTCTTGCATGGCCGTGATCCGGCCCCGAGGTACCGTGCAGTAGTAGGGGGTATTTTGCTCTCGGTGAGAGGCGGATGGCTCCGCCCAATCGTCCCCCTTCTCAACTGCGTGAGAAAGCCTCGCCTCTTGCAGGCGACTGTTTTTCTCTTCTGTGTCCAGAGAAGCATGGCCAGAAGAGCTAGACTCGGAATCGTCCTCTGACGAGTCCGAAGAGGACGACTCTTCCCCTCTCCCGGAGGGGCCCGCCTCCTCTCCTTTAAAAGGAGCAGGAGAGAATGAAGAATTGTCAACTGTAAAATGGGAAGGGGTCACTTTGACTCCTCCCTCAGAACTGCCGACTTTCAAGCCGCTTTGTTTCACTTCCACATATGGCGCCTGGTCAGATGTTCCACTAATCGGCACCCTGTGGGAGGAGCCGTCTAAGTTTGAGATCCTGGCAGTCTTTTTTGTTCTGGCCATCATGCTCTGCATAGACACAGATACAGTCGGACTTTGTATAAAGGGCAAAGATGGGTCCAGAAAAGGGCAGGCGACACTCCTAGTCCTAGATTCAGCCGTCCCCGGTGACCGGCTGATCACTAACCTAGGTCGTGTCGTGTGCTTCCGTGGTGCCATTTCAAAAAAGAATAAAGTAAAGAGAAAATTAAGAGTAAGAGAACCGACGGTTACCTGAACGAGTGACGATTGATGAAGTTCTGAAAATCCTTTGCAGTCGGCTTGTCAGAGCAGGCCGTAGGCAGAAAGGGTCCAAAATGTCAGAGCAAGTTCAGGGGTCCGAATGTTCTCTCACAAAGTTTTCAAGTGTGAAAATGACCGAAGTCAACACTCCTTTATATAGGCGAAGTGAGAAGGCGAAGGGTCACTTCCAGAATTCAAAATTTTGGCGGGAGAATCTCTCGGCCTCTCGCCGAGTGACACCTGTAGCAGGTCGTCGCCTGTTACAGGGCGATACCTGTCACAGGTAACACGTGACCAGTCACGTGCCACCTGTGAGGGGCAAATGATTAGGGGATTTTTCCCCACCAATCACCATCTGACAAGTGGACCAATCAGGTTCCGCCATGTGTCCGTCACATGGGCCAATAGGAGCCTGCCACGTGTCAAGCAATGATCCGTCCACCATGGACCAATTACGACACGACACGTGTCCTTCCCATGACACCTGGGATAACCGGTCACCTAGGCCCAACTTCCGAGGGAAGCCCAATCAGCCCAAGGTTAACCTAAACCTAGATTGGCACGTTTCCCGAGGTTATAAATACCTCCCTTAATCCTCATTAAGGGGGATTACAGGCTGGTCACGCTAAAAAAGCAGATTACCTACATTAAACACTCTCACCTAGAGAGACCCAATCACTTTAATTTCCGCATTAATTACTCCTTAAACAAGTACTAACTTGATCGTTGGAGGCGGAGCTCCCACCACAAGGAGTCTCCGTTGTTTTGCAGGTACAGGCGTCCGGTTCCAGTCTCGGAATTGTAACTCTCCCGCAGGACATCAGAACACCCCGAAACACCTCTCTTATCCATTCGATACGTGCAATTTCTTTTCCATTGATACGGCCGACAATTTGGATTTGAATTCCTTTTGTATCAGCTCGTTCGGTTAATTCGATAGCTTTTTTCATTGCTTTTCGAAATGATACTCTACTCTTTAGTTGTCCGACTATAAATTCCGCAAGAATGTTAGGGTGCCCATAAGGTTTTGCAATTCTTGTAATAGCAATATTGAGTTTTCGGTTTACACAATTTAATTCTTTTTGTACATTTATTTTTAGGTCTTCTACTTCATGTGGTCGATTTTCTATTAATAATTTTGGGAATCACATATGGATTATCACTTGTATCAGATCAATTCTTTTTTGAATTTCGATACGTGCAATTCCTTCGATACCTGAGGATGCTCTTGTATTTTTTTGTACATAATTTTTGATACAATCCCTTATTTTTTTATCTTCTTGTAGACCTTCTGAATAGTTTTTTGGTTGTGAAAACCAAAGGGAATAATGACTTTGTGTTGTACCAAGTCTGAAACCAAGTGGATTTATTTTTTGTCCCATATTACTTACTCCATCATACAAAGGCTATATTGTATAAGAAACTCTTTATTTTATGCTTTTCTCTAAAACGACCACACAAGAATTCGCGTCGTTGACCTGTAGACATAAGACCTAAGGAAGTTATTAGCTTTTTTGGAGGTAAACTCTCTAAAAATTTCTCATATGAATCAAAGTGGGTTATATCTCTTAATATAATAGTTATGTGACAAGTAGGTTTTTTAATCAGATAACTACGCCCTCGAGCTCGCGGTTTTAATTATTTTAAGGTAATACCTTTATTAAAGTCCGCTTTGCTAATAATTAAATTTGCTTTGTTGAATTTTTTATTGTGGCTAGCATTTGCTGCTGCAGAATAAATCAATTTTAAAATAGGATAACATGCTCGATAGGGCATGAATTCTAATATCATAAGTGTTTCGGCGTAGGAACGACAGCGTATCTGATCAATTAGTCTTCCTGCTTTGTCAACAGACATGGATAGAGAATGACCTCTTGTAGTTATCTCATCACATTGTCCCGGCTCTGGGTGACTGATCCGTATAGACGAAAGACATCAAATTCTGATTTCTTTTCTTTTTTTTAAAAAAAATCCCATAAATTTTACCTCCATTAATAAATGATAAGCATCTATTTTTTTATATTAACTTAATTAACCTTAAGTTAAACTTAACGACGAGACTTATTATTGGTTTTTGCATGTCCCTGGAACTTTAGAGTTAGTGTAAATTCGCCTAATTTATGACCAACTATCCGATCGGTTTGTAAATGGGCAAGTGTTCTCTTCCATTATGGACAGCGATTGTATGTCCAACCATTGTGGGTATTGGAGGATGCTAAAGGACTTGGCAACTCCAGCAGATAGGCTTGTTGATCGGTTATCTGCTCCTTGCGACCAGCTTATGAATGATATGCTAAGGGTAATACTTTACAACTCCCCAGTCATATATCAGTTATGTTTCTTCCCCTTTTACTTGTTTTATTTATGTGGTTAATAAAGTTTTTTTGTTATAAGAAAACTGTCAACTCGGCTGTGGAGGTCGTGCACATGTACTAATATTACCAAAGATATGCAGACCAAGTTGAGACTAAGGTAAAGAAGGGTGATGACGAGCGTAAGGCTGCTATTCTCGAGCTCGAGCAAAACAAGACCCAAATGAAGCTTTTGGAAATGAAAGTTCTGATCATGCGGAACTGAAGGAAAAACTTTTGGATCAAAACAAGCTGACAACCAAAATTGCCGATCTGGAGAAAAGCCTGAAAGCTGAGAAAGCGGAAAAAGACAAGCTGGTGAAAAGCTTAGATGAAGTTCACCGTGAAAAGCCCGGTATCAGGCATCGAGTCGTCAACCGCTTTCTGAAATCGGACTTATACCTAGAAAAGCTTGTTGATCGTTATACCGGCGGATGGGTGGCGGCGCATCGCTGTGTATGCAAGGCCGAGAACTAGGATCAGGAGAAGTGGCAAGTTTGTGAGAGTGCCTATAGTGATGAAAAGCATCACTCTCCTACCAGCTATGAAGAGAACTACTTTGTTGACCCTCCATCTTTTGAGATAATGACGAATGTGGATCCATGAGATATGCTTGACGAGAACTTTGATGATGTTCTACTTGCCAACCCTCAAAGCGAGAAAGGACTAGAGAAGGAGTCCAAGAAGAAAAAAGATTAATGGGGCGGGCAGTCATCACCAAATTCGTCATGTGGATCTTCATTTGCATGTATTCGCCGCTTAGCTGATGAAGTTGTTTTTGTTGTTCTAGGACTAAGTTATCGTCTGTATAAACATTTTAATGTTTAGATTTAGCCGGTCTAATCCTTATGTTTTATGGGTGATGGCTGTCGTTTTCTTTTCTGCTTTTTTATTTCATGCTAAATGACTTTGACATTTATATAAGTTTCCACTGTTATGTATATATGAAGCCCATACTGCTTTGACTTATTTATTCATGTTATCTGCGCATTAATTATATAGCGTATTTTAGCCTGTCATATCTGTTAATTTGTTTAATTTGTTAGGCTTTTACAGATTTATACCTTTGAAAAACTCATTTCAAAAGAATGGTTAATTGGTTTTATTGGTTAAACTGTATTTTAAACCAGGTTCCCTTGCGTTGGTATGCGCGTTGGTCCTCCAAGTAGTTTTAATTAAAACCTACTTGAATACCTTTCGCAAAACGGCTATAGGCCACTATAACATGATTAGATTATGGGTCCAAATTATAGCACGATTTCACCGATAGGATACTTGCAACCCTTTTAGGCCGAGTAAAGACAGTGGATCAGACCATCATTTCAACTCGCCTATTAGGTGCGTTTGTTATCTAACCTCTCTCCACACTTGAACGGGTGAGACAGCTAGCTAGGTTGTTCGCACATTCATATCAAAAGCGGGGGGGGGGGGGGGGGGGGGGGGTTTCACACCATTGATGTCAGGTCGTTAAATTCATTTTCATTAACAGCTTCAGCCAAATACAAAACATTTACAAAGTACGATGACCCTTAGTCATATCGATAATACATAATTTATGAACTAATACGACAGCAGATTTTAAACATAATATTTCTTAAGGACGCTTGCATTCTAGACGTTCTTAAAGGGTACACCCTCCAAAGTCATCAACCGATATGACCGATGCCTTATTGTTTCAAAAATCTGATATGGACCTTCCCAATTTGCGGTAAGCTTGCCATCTACATTTCCCTTCCCTGTAGCTGTCGATCTTCTTAAAACTAGATTGCCATCTTCAAGAGGCCGATAATTAACACGCTTATTGTAAGCGTAACTCATCCTATTTTTGTAAGCTGCAAATTTAATGAAAGCCTTCAACCTTACCTCTAGCAAAAAATCTAATTGATGTTGCAATAGAAGGTCATTTTGCACTTCATAGTAATGTTGGATACGAAACGTGGGAAGGCCGACTTTGGCTGGGACCACCGCTTCTGAACCAAAAGGGAGGTTGAAAGGTGATTCTCCAGTTATTTCTTTTGTTGTCGTTCTATTGGCCCACAGTATCTCCGGTACCAAATCGGCCCACAGCCCTCGTGCGTCTTCAATTTTCTTTTTCAGCGCACTAAGTATTTGCTTATTTGCGGCCTTGATATGCCTATTTTATATAGTGATTTACCCCCATCCCTTGGTCATATTGGTGTATTTTTGGCTCTACGGAGCTACTTTTATTACTAATATGCATTTTCTAGTGTTTTAGTAGCCTTCATATTATTTTGTAGGAAATTGCAGATTTGGAGCATTTTCCCGGACTTATATAAGCCACTACGAGCATTAGATAGGATCGCATTCATATGACCACATACCGAAGCTCAGACCGTGTTGGAGCAGTCAAACTGGTGATTAAGGGCTCGATGAAGAAGAAGAGACCGAGGCTTTGGATCGAGTTATAAGGACCCAAAGGGAAATCCGGATTGGGCCAAGTAATTAGCCCAATTGAAGATTCCATTAATCCCGGATGCTCGCCCAACCAGGAGTACCCTTGCCCTGAGGCGCGCCCGGCCGAGCAAGGAAAATAGAGAAGAAGCACTCCTCGCCCTGAGGCATGCCAGACCGGGCTCGTAAGAGAGAGTCACCAACCGAAGGCGGGCCCGGCCGGGCGAGATGGCGCCCAACCGGGCGTGTGTTTCTGAGGATCGTTTAGCGATTTTTAATCTTTGTTTTAGCTTAGGATTTTTAGCTTTAGTATAAGTACACTTTGTAAAGCGAGATTTGGGACGTCTTTACATTAGTAAATTCAAGATTTTTAGTTTTAAGCTTTAGATTAATACTCTTGTTCTCTCAACTCTTTTTTGGTTTATGCAATTCATTATTTTAGTTTATTTTGGTAATGATTTCTTTCCCTTTTATTTTCAGTAATTTTATTGCTTTGATTAATCATGTCTTGTTTTATTGCTTTGTTTGGTTTAGATTTTAATATGTGTGAGTAGTTTTATTTCTAGGGTTTGTGGGGATCCATAAATAATATGAACGGGTAATTTATTATTGTTGATTGTTAATGCTCAATTGATTTTCTATTAAATTGATTTAATGATATGCAATTAGATTTGGCCAGGTTTAATTATATGAGTTATGCAATATTGATTTGAGATTCGAGAGATGAGAATTGATGTTTAGGCTTAGTTTCAATAGGCAGGTTAATTTATAAATGATTAAGTCAAAATTCGAGAGATGCGATTTAATACTGGTAGATTAATTCTATTATTGTAATACGTAGTGAAAGCCCTTTATAATCTGATTAATTAATTGATGCATTGATGATTGATTGTTGTGTTTTACCCTGGAATATTATTTATTGGTGAACCTATGCCTAAGGCTTTGATTTATTGATTTCTCCTTAGTTTAATTTGCTTTAGTTTATTTATTCTCCTTAGATTAATTCTCACAAAACAATTTGGTTACTTGATAATTAAGATTATATTTAATTATTTAGGAATAGAAAGACTTTGTTTCCCTGTGGATTCGACCCTACTTCCCTATCTGCTTTAGTTAGAGGACTTAGGTAATACTTTTGATTAGGTGATACGACTTTATCCTGTCAGGCCTCAGCCTGACCGTTTGACTGTGGATGGCAAACTGCTTCATAGGCAAATTTTACCCAGTATATGCTCAAGAAATTTTTGCCATGGCTGCAATCAAATTGGGAGTCGTGATCAAACATCATTTCCATCGGCATACTAAATCCGGTGAATATGTTTTTCCAGATGAATTTTTTCACCTCATTTGCCGTTATTTTTGATACCGGTTCGGCATCTATCCATTTGGTGAAGTAATCTACTCCAATAATTAGGAACTTCCTGTAGGGTTTCGTAGTGACCCGACACTACGCGGAAGGAAACCCCCCAAGACCCGCCCCTTAATTAAAGCAATTAATAAGCATAATAAACTTAATCAAGCAAGACTAAGAACAAGAATTATACCTTTGTTGCGTGCTTCGCTCCCGAAGAGCTCTTACTTCAAGATCCCGAAACTACGAGATCTCCGACGGATCGTACCCTCGACCCGACCCGAGCGTCCCAAGTCTTGAAGGTTAGTCAAGACCCGGACAAAACAAAACTATGAGTTTTACGAATCAAAGGTTTACTCTAATTACAAGAGTTGCCTTTTTAATTCCACTCAAGGTTGTGTATTTCCCAATACCATGCCTTTGGTATTTATAGGGAATGCACCCTTGAACTTCATTTCCCAACCAATGTGGGAGAATGAATAATTTTGATAATTAATTTATTACCAAAATAAATTAATAATTA